CGGGCCGTGAACCACGGAAACACAGTCCAACATTCTAATCCCCGAGCCACCGATATTCTGTCAGATACGGGACGTGAACCACGGAAACACAGTCCAACATTCTAATCCCCGAGCCACCGATATTCTGTCAGATACGGGACGTGAACCACGGAAACACAGTCCAACATTCTAATCCCCGAGCCACCGGTCCCGTATCTGACAGAATATTTTCCGTGGTTCGCGGCTCGGGGATTAGAATGTTGGACTGTGACTTGCTAGATGGAAGTAACATCTGATTATGAACTCTCTGTTGATAATGTTCGGAGCTCACATACCTGGACTTGTAATTATAAGCATTACTCACAGCTACTGCCATTAGGGACATATGTCATATTACTCAATACAGTGGAAAGTTATAGAAAATGTTCAAATTACTCACATATCCTACTTGTGTGAGAGAGTATCAAAATCGTTTCACTTTAACTCTTTGTAACTGCTAGTCTCTTTAATTGAGTTTAAAAGAGTAGTGAGTGTGCACAGTATGTAAGAAATGTCCTAGTCACAAAACTGCCGCTCAGAGTAAACAACACACGCAACAGACAGTTGTAGCTGAGCCAACTAGTTTGCCAAAGAGGATCAATTCTCCAGACAATCTTTCATTTCTTCCTACCTTTTGCATAAATATGTTTCCAGTCTAAGTTATCTTACAGGTCTGTGTTTTGAGAATATTTACTTTCTCTGAATTTAATATTTTATACAGTCATGTATAAAAGTGTAGTATAATTGTTGTTATCTGCAGTCTGTTAACTGTGGGGAATCGAGCCCCGGCTTTTTTAGTTACATTAATGAAAACTTGCCGTTTATCCACCGGGGCACAAGAACTTACTACTACAATAATGATATTTAAATTGAACATTCTTAAAGAAGGGGGACTTGTGCTTTGAGAAAAGTAACAAAGGTTCTTTCTTATTGTGAATTATAGACATTTTATTTATAGTCTGGTGGTTTCTTCAATTTCACTATAAAGGTTTCTCAAGTTAGAATGACTTGCGAGTCACGAATCAGTATTGTACTTAAATACCAGTTATATTTGTTTTGATTTAGAGAGACAGTAACTTAATCCTCACCTCCGTAAATAACATATTTGACTTCAATGATTAAAAACAATATAATTAAAATACTAAACTACATAATGATTAAAATTAAAAATAAATAGAATTAGCTGCAATATTTATTGGTCTGTGTTGAGCATTAAAATCTAAATTTAAGACTATAACCTTATATAAACCTACTGTACTACATTAAAACAGTTTCAAAATTGCCTTGATTTGTCAATAAAGTGACTTAACTCACAGATTTTAACATTTTTAAATTTAACATCTCTCAAAAAATACTACTGAACAAGAAATATTTCATTAGAGCTATGCATACAAGACAAACATCTCATTTAATATATGTGATAAGGGAAGCTTACCCTAGTATTGGATAGATATTTAACACATTACCAATTGTAATTCAAGCTTTAACATTTCAAGTAAAAGAATGCAAGGGAAATAATTATAATTCTTAACACGTCATTTAGCATGTGTGGATTTAACAGCATATCAAACCATAAGGTAAGTTTAAAGTTTGTATATTACTACAGTTAACTCTACATTGACAGTGTTATCTAATGGAAGGACCAATCAAAGCTATGTTTCATATTGGTATATTACTACAGTTAACTGTACATTGACAGAGTTATCTAATGGAAGGACCAATTAAGCTATGTTTCATATTGGTATATTACTACAGTTAACTACATCGTACAGAGTTATCTAATGGAAGGACCAATCAAAGCTATGTTTCATATTGGTATATTACTACAGTTAACTCTACATTGACAGAGTTATCTAATGGAAGGACCAATAAAGCTATGTTTCATATTGGTATATTACTACAGTTAACTCTACATTGACAGAGTTATCTAATGGAAGGACCAATCAAAGATATGTTTCAAGTCGGTATATTACCTTGAAACATAGCTTTGATTGGTCCTTCCATTAGATAAAACTGTATGATGTAGAGTTAACTATAGTACTATACCGACTTGAAACATAGCTTTGATTGGTCCTTCCATTAGATAACACTATATGATGTAGAGTTAACTGTATTGGTATATTATTACAGTTAACTCTACATCATAGAGTGCTACCTAATGGAAAGTCCAAAAACCCATTCACAGAGTTCCAAAAGACAACTGAATGATTACATGAGTGGATCTTATTTTGGGGTAAAGAGAAACCTTATAAACTTTATTTCATTACATGTTTTAACTTATTTTATCCAGAACTTTAATGTGACAACAATATAAAGGAATCATTTATTTTCGGAAGGAAATGTTTATCAGTGGGCAAGATTCAAGTACAAAATACCACAAAATGATCTGTTTTTCAGTGATGATAAAGTAGATTTTTAAATGTATACAGTTTGATGAGGATACTGATATTACTGAGTTGGTCTGACTGAGGGCTTGCGGTTTTAAGCCTGATACTGCAAAAACGTTCTCCGCATTTGTAGGTCTTGAGGGCATTATAAGAATACGGTCAAATCTCATTATTCGATCAGACGAAAGTAGCACAAGAGTTGGGAACCGCTGACTACCTGCCTTTTCTCTCACCTATTAGTTGAAATGTATGGATGATTAACACAGACAACCTTTTTTTATATCTTTGCGCAAATATTTTGTAAGAAAGCCTAACTGATAATAAACAAAAAGAAATTGGGAAGTTTGGTAAAAAATCATTAAACAATACATATATTATACCAATAATTTATAAGAAATCTGTTATATAAGCATCTTAATTAACGGGAAAAATAATACACAATTCAATCAATATTTAATACATTTTAAACCACATTTCTACCAAACGTTATGCTACATATTATAGTAAATTGACGCACACATATATATGTATAAAACACAAGTAATTTTATAAACAGTCCCTGATGTATCATCCAATTAAAGAGCTTATTTGCATTAAAATCACTTACACCGTCACAAAAAAGTCATCTATATGGTAAGGATGTATAAACGAAAAGCTGTCTATATGGTAAGGATGTGTAAACAGAAAGTTGTCTATACGGTAAGGATGTATAAACAGAAAGTCGTCTATATGGTAAGGATGTATAAACTCATTGATTAAAACACGGTGACTAAACACTTTAACTGGCAGTTTATGAATCATTGATGTTTTTGAGTACATACAATGAGTGCTAATGATGATGTCACTATATCTATGAACTTATGTTTCTTACATTGAATAAAACATTTTTTATAAATTTGTACAATAGTAAAACATTTGAGACATTACACAAAGAGTTCTGAAAAAGAAAAACAATTTTTATAGCTGTCTCATTAGAATCGCAAAGTAAAACCTGAAGCACAAGATAGTCGACTTCAAATTCAGAGCCTGATTTCAAAACGGTGAGAAGTGGACAAAAACAAATTCATTAATTTTGTTTTAAAACAAAATGTAGCTGTTAAATGTAGCTACGTGAATGTAAAGCTAGTAGAACTCCGAACAATAATATATAATTATGGAATCGTCGCTTTTAAGTCATTCGTTAAAATTTAATTCTTAATTTTCCAATGTTTGCTTAGAACTAATAGATTATCCTATAATTTAAACATTTCACTGATAAAAACCTGTTCTATTTTCAGGTATTTCTGAAGGAACTGATTTGAAGTTTATATTCTAATTTTTGTTCAATTAAAAAAGGAGTAAGCTCATACAATGTATATTTACTATTAATGCTGTATTAATTACAAATCTACATCATAAATACTTAAAGAAAGTCATTTAAAAAGAACAAAAATTTACATTCGAGCTGGCATATATTTTAGGCCAAACAAAGAACTAACAGTCTGAATCTTAATGAATGTTTATTTACAGGAGATACCACAATGTGCTTACTCTTTTTTTGAGACTAATTAACTGTTGATAAAATTACACTAGTTTATCGTTTTTTAAGGGAATTTTAACACGGGTTGCATATATTGAAACTCTAGAATCTAAAATATTATAATTTTCACAATTTATTGTGGATAATAAAAACGTTAGGTTTTGCAGAAAACTAGACTGCGTAGACGGTTTTATAGATGCAATTAAAGCAATTATTACTTCTTGTTGGCTAACACAACGTAAAAGAATGACCCACATAGAAATAAAGTTTAAAATTATCCCTTCCTTCTCCCCCTAAGAAAACTTTCATTAGATAGATTTATCACAAGTTATTAAATTAACCCAAGTAAAGTTAAACTACTTATAAAATGTTAAATAATGTTCCAACCACTACTACTAATGTGGTAAACACTATTGAATGGTCTATAATCACCCTGTATTGTTAATAAACTTTTCATCACCAATATTATAATCGCCTAATAATTAATCTACCTTCTATAGCTAACTCTACCATGGTGCTAAGGCTACTCATCTGCTTCTATGTTCTGGTATGTAGTCCTGAGAGAAGGTCTTAGTGAGGTTAGAACCCAGGGCCTTAGGAATGAGAATGCTATACAGTGGTCTGGTTGTTTCTAAGGTTCCGGGTTCAAATATCACTAACAGAGATTTTCAAGAGTTCACGTACTTGAAAGTAACAAATTTTAGTGAAAATGTAGGTTTATAAAATTGTTTGATACTGTAAAATTTGAAAATAAAAAACTGACTACTCCTCTACAGGCAGTCCAGTAAAAGTGGATACAAATATAGTTTTGTTAAATAAATTTCTTTCCAGAATTTTTCTTCTGTGCCAGTGGCTATGGTGTTGATAGATGAAATCAGTCCAATAAGTCATTTCTCTAACAAAAAAATAAATTTACATTAATTTATAACCATGTAAAAATTAAACCAAGCAATAAAACAATTTACACAAATTTTAATATAAATATCTGTATCAAACTCACTTGATTTAATTAGTCATTCGTTAACAAAGCCATTATAATCATGTAAAAATTAAATCAAGCAATAAAATGGCTTACACATGTGTTAGTGAAAAAATCTGTATTAAATATTTGTTTGATCTAATTATAAAATATACTTGTTAAAGTTAATATTTAATGGTGCTCGTAAGAAAACTGGAGAACAATCTTGTGATTTAAAATGATTTACTGTACACTGATGTTCAACAGAAAAGTATCAAATACTACAGGTTCAGAAATGTTATGCACATAATAACTTGAAACACAAACAGCAAATGATTGAAACAAACACAAATGAATAAATAAGCAGATTCTTTGTTCACAGCTATCATACATCTTTGATTACTAGCTAGTTTCTATATTAATTTTGCAGATATTTTCTTGCTAAGGCAGGATAGTAGGTTGGAAGTAAGATATGTTCACAAGATGCTGTATAAAGGGTATTTTAGACATGATAGAGTCTTGGCTATTAATGGGCTGGTGCTGTCTGTTGCCAATGTTTCTACTTATATACTGAGGAATAGTCTCAATTTAGTAGCTGAAATGCTTAATGAAAAGGTAGAGACCACAGTCAGAATGATTTCAATAGAAGCACTGTTAGATCAGGGCAATGCTCAAGTATTATGCTCCTAAATAACTATGTCGAGGATGATTCAGAGGAGACCTCATGTATACACTAACTTGAACAAGACTTTGTACCACTTCCCACTCCAGGAGTGCATGACACAGGAACAAGGCCAAACAAGTATAAGTAGTATAACACAAATGCTGTTGTATGTAAACTTTGTCTAAGTTACAGGTTTAGTCCAAGTAACACGTCATGAGCTTCTAGAAAATTCATGTCCCTTCGTGAAGCCTCGAGTGTTTACTAGATGTGCGGTATTCTTGTATATATAAGACCACCAAGAAGTGACAGCAACAATCGGAATTGAATTGCAGACAGAGATAGAGATGACAATTGAGTCAAGCACGTAAATCGTTCGTTCGTTGTGAATTATAGCGTTTGTTTAAGTTATAGCGTGACTGGGGAAATTAAGTGTATTACAAAGTTGTATTGAGAAAGAATAAACTAGTTTTATTTAAGAAAGGAGTTGTATCGCTAAAGTTTCTTCGGAAGGCATTTTTACGGAAAATTAACAAATGACCAGAGACGTAACAATACATTTGTAATAAAAATATAGTTTTACACACACACTTGAAAGCAATAGACACACTGTTATATTTCAACCTGAACAAACAAGTAATCCTGATCTAACCTTCAAAGACTTAAATTTTAAAGTCTACAAATGTTCTAGTTGTCTCATCTCTTAAATATCCCTTCATGAATAACAGTGAAAATAGTGGATCCACTATATTTTGCACTTGGTTGTGTTGAAGATTATCAATTAACTTGGTGTCTTTCTCTAAGTTAAATATAACACACTTATGAATATTCCATATTATGAAAACATGAAACATGTGGTGTTTCTTGCTCATTGTGACCTAAGCTTAGCTAATTACTGCTTTTTCTAACAAACATACACTTGTCAATATTCAAGCCAAATTCTCTGTTTGCTTAAAAAAAAGTGTTCTCTTGGATTAACTATATTCATGCATATAATCAAATATACACAAACTGGTCCATATGTGATGCAATAGATAAGAACTGACATACACATCTGTTTTTACATTACCTCTACCAGTTGTTCATGAAAACTGATGATATATAGTGCTTAGACCACTACTATGTATGTTGTATCACAGCCAGCATGACGAGCCCTGGTATTAGATGAAAGACTTCATCAATCCTGGATATAGCAGATTCAATGTGGTTGACATAAACTATTTTCCTTTTCTTTCACCCATGGGATCTTAGAATTACATATTAACCAGTGCATACTTATAGCAAGTAAATGCACCATTCAGTGGCAAGCCCACTAACCTTAGCAACTAATGTCAGCATCAGTCATGCTGTACATGGTTTACATACATACAGCCCTCAGGCAACACATAAAAAAACTATATCACTCCAACTTGAAAATAATAGTTTAAATGTTTGTTGTTAGACACAAATCTACACAATGGGCTATCTGTTCTCTGTCTACCTTAGGTATTGGAACCCAATTTTTAGTGTTAAACCCTTAGACTTACCAGGGGATGAAAAGAAATCACTGATTGAAGTAAGCAGAAATGGTTGTTCCTGTCATAATAATTTCATGTCAACTACAAAATAACTTTAATCCAAGGGACAATAAAAAATTACTTTTGTATCATAAAACATGAATCAACCCAAACTAATATGTTTTTCATTAATATTGACATCTAGGGATCATCAGTAACATTAGACAAAGACAAAATGCTGTTCTAGAATGGAACTCCCTTAATGCAGTTCAGAAAGACTGGTTGAGAAGATCTAACAAATCATCAGAAGTGGCCTTGGAGGGTGATATGTAAAAAACTTATGTGCAAGATTGCAAATATACATGGGTAGTTTCTACAAACAAGGCTGTCAAAAACCTTAACCTGAGAGCCCAAAATGCATGGACTGCAAATTATATTCAGCATTAGTTAGTCAATTTCCATTTATCATCAATAGTCAAAACAAAATGTTAATTTCAGTAGGATTTTGTTTGTATCTATGTAGTTCTGTGCAGCCAGCTCTACAGGAATATCACAACAACTCACTAGATAGACCAAGTAATCATCACAATTCAGGCCAACATCATGCTACCAAATATTGCTCAACAGTTCAGAAAGTAAGGGTTGAAACACCATTTCAATTGTTCACCTATCAACCAAATGTTCTAAATGTAGAGTAGTGAGTGGTTATCATATAATATCTGGTAAACATCTTGCTGCAAGTAGCTACTAGATAGTTTAGAATGTTTCAGTTATTGGTTTGCAATCAACTGACCATCCATTTAAACACTGGTAGGTTAAACTGTTTCACATCACCACATAATTAAATGATTGAGTAGAAAGGTACCTACTACCATCTTCTCTACTACTGTGTGGCTGGCTGAGATGCTGTCAGCATAAGTAGAGGTCCTCATTCCCTCCAAAAGCCCGAAGACATATGTACACGATGAATGTGATTTCCTCCTATGATATGATGCCTGAATACTGTGACATGCAGAAATAACTGTTGTTGCATTTCAATTCAATCTCAGTTGCCAGATACAGTCCCAGACATTGTTAATGTGCCTCTTCAGCTAGGAAGGCTTCTAAATATTCTAAAGAGCTACTGCATCATGGTGAGATACCAAATGTTCCAAGAAACATCACATTGAACTTATCTACTACTCAATTCTCACTACTCTTCTTGGCCACAGGTGACTTACCAGTGTCTGGAAATGCCTGGGCTAGTTAAAGAATATCTTGGACTAGCTGAGTAAGTAACAGGATGTCTAAGCAGATTTTTACCACCAGGTCCTTTCTTCATCACCTTCTGCTTCTCTATGTGGAAGTAAACCAGCAGAGGTCATGTAGCAACAGCTAGGGTTTACTCCAGCCACATGTAAACCTCAGTGAACAGATCAAGAGCATAGACAAAACAATGGCCAGTAAAAGCTCTTACTCTTAGTCCAAGAAAAATCCTCTCCTACTCCTTGTCACTTTATCAGATAATATCCACACCTCACCCACAGCTTTCTTCTCTCCACTATAAATTTCATTTGGTTGTAGAAGGTGCAACTTTATGAACACTTTGCAAACCATACAGAGAAACAAATGGAAAAAGAAGCATGTTTAAAATAAATTCCACAAATATTTTGTTCAAATGTAACTTATTCTGTGGTATTCAGGTATTCTGAAACCCAACAGAAAAGTATCAAAAATCTGCAATACAGCAGATTGTGGAAATGTTATATGTAATGCTCAGTGAGCCAGTAGAATTCCTCTGTTCTTTCCATTTCCTAATTCTTTATTAAGCTCTATAAAATTATATTTACACCAAATGGTAATTAAATAACTATAATATATGACATAGTTGATCTACAACTAATATGGAAATTAATATGCTTTCAACACTTTTCTTATGAAATTGAGAACTCAAAATATGAAAAGGAAATTCAAAAGAATATTTTCACATCATTTTTTAAATTGTGGCTATAAAAAAAAAGACTAATTGGTTTCTTTAGAAACTAGATTCTGGTGATTAATTCTGGTATTTGAAATTTTACAGTAATTCAAAATTTATAAGTTGGAACTAACCTAAATTGTCTAAGCTGGCTGAACCTCGTAATGTTATGTAGGGATTACCAGATTGAATTTTAATTTTGCTCTAAGTAGGTAGCTTGTTTTTATCAGAAGTTATATTAATAAGCATTAGAGTTTATAATATTTATTGTATTCAATGCTTTACAACTACAGGTGACATAGAACACAATCTTATGGTTGTTTGGAACACACCTGGTTTTTTCAGGTCACAGTCAACTGCTTATTGTTTAGACTACAAAAATTCAAAACATTTTTGTATCAAGAAGCACTCTCACTATTTTACTGTTTTTGATTTTTGGGCAGAAAATTATAAACATAAGGTTTTATTTGTTCACCAAGTACATTTACTTATTCCTTATATTATAATGCACTAATAAATATTGAATTTTTTATTATAATATACCATTTGGCTCCTGTTGACTTCTAAGGCTTGCTTGACACTTCATCTGGTATATTAGTTGCCACCTGGCAATGGCTTATCAACTATTTCTTCTCTTCTTTTTGCAAAAAAAATAATCAAAAGATCATTATGATTTATTAACAAAGTATTCATAGTATCGGTGTTATCACAAACAGCAGTTTTTATTTATCATTTATGTAGTTACTGAATTATATGTATATATTGAATGATACTTTCATTGTTTTTGCATTACTCTTCAAGACCTTGGAAAGCAAAAGCAATAAATACTGTAGACTGTTACGTTTATGTTATTATATGTTTATGGAACATTGAATATTAATTTCTTTTCATGTTAACAAGTATAAGTCCCTGTACGTCAGATAACTCTTTTAAACTCATTATAACTTTTGGTAATCATACAAATTCACCACAATTAAGAATAAGGGCAACCCTTAAAATATTTACTTAAAAATAAAGCTTTTAGACTTAATACAACATTTTAAGAAATATATAATTGTTGTATGCAGGGATGTGATCCCGAGGAGAATAAATAACTATAAATTTGCAAAATATATTTTTCCAAACATTTTTAGCATTTGTTGTATTATTCTACTATTCTGCTTGAAAATTCTCTTGCATACCATGATACAAGTTTATATATTGTAAATGAAAGCAGGAGTTGTACATGAACAGAAGACCCATGGAAAAATAGAATAAACCCAGCAAATGAGAGACATTACCTATCGAGTTCTATTAGTTCAGAAGATATAAACGTGTTTATATAAAAATGTAAGCATTATTGTCCTATGGTGCTTAAGACATATTGTATCACAAGCCTTGTCACTAAATCTCCATGGTGGTAATCTGACAAAATTTCCTACCTGCTTATTACATAATTAAAGGATAACACAATAATCTACAACTCAGCATATTTCATTTAAGCAGGAGTTACTTAATGGATAATTACAAAAACAAAACATAAAACAATATTAACAATTCTTTAGTAACATACAGTTGTATTCATGATGTTAGAAAAACACGTAGGTTCAAGCACTTTCAAAAGGTGGACCTTTGTTCTTCAGTTATAAATATTCTATGATAAAATCTAAGTACAGGCATTTATGGTAAAAATTAACTTATATTTCATTACAAAAACGTGTAACAACACTCCTTTAATTTACAAAATAACATCATAAAATGTTTGGAAAATTTTCATTATATTAATTCTTTCTGATAACATTTAAAAAGAATGATAAAATGGTAAAAGTAATTAGTAAAGGACATTGTTTTTCTGATGCACATTTTGTTGCAGAGGTTAAAGTCCTAAACTTTTATTAGTTAAGAGTGGATAATATGATCTTGAAATTGTTTACTAAATATGATTCTTCTAGGATATTTATGCATATATGGGAAGAAAAAAAATTCTGGTACATGTTTCTTTATAAAAACTGATAAATATAAAATTAACCTACTTAACTTTGATACATTTTCTCTTCTTCACACCACACTGTGAGTTATTGTGGTTTTTGTCTCTATCCATCCCATCTGAGTTTTTTCTAAATAATAAGAAAATAGTACAATACTTCAGGAGTGATTATAAACTGTTAAGTGTATATATATAACATTAAAGTATCTAACCAGTAATACATACTGCACATGATTTACTATCCAAGATTTTCAAATAATGCTTACATGTATATGTAAACGAAATGTCAAATCATCAGCAGTAATCAAGCTAGAGAAATTATTTTCACTTGAATGAGTTATTAAAAGATTTAACTGCTGTTAGAAACTTACATAAAATGTAAAAGTTGAGACTAGTTTCAGTGCAACTCCAATTAATTATTGTGACATATAATAAATAGTTCAGAAAAAAGTCTCTGCATTAGTTCAGAACAATTATTTTGACTTTGAGGATACATTAGTGAAACTCTTCTTTAGGGTTTTTCATAAAACTAGTTGCTCATACAACATTTAATAACAACTGGTGTACTTACTCAATATCTTTGGGCAAAAACTTTTCATTTTCAGCCTGAGTACTACAGTCTTCATCAACTATCCCATTGCAATTTACGTGAACAATAGTTTTAGGACAAGAACTTTTTCCACCTTTGGTATCACAATCTTTATTAAATAGCATTTTTTGCTCATTAAAAATAAGGCTTTCATGACACTCGGTGGATAAAGATTTATTATTACGTGTTTCCAATGAGATTGGAAATGTATTGCTACTATCCTCTGGGCACTTTAACTCATTGACAAAGCATTTTGTGTTATTTTTATGTTCTTTATTTGTTATGCTAATACTGTCTAAATTGTCTTTCTCATACTTTTTTATATGCAGTTCATCATAAATACTATCAGCACTAGGATTAAATGGCTCATCAACACAATACTTATTTATCTCACAAATTCTAGAGCATAAAGTTTTTCTTTTGTCATCTTCCCCTGTACTAAATGGTAACAGAAAGGTAGGACTCTTAGTTTCATCCTGAATATCGGATGAGTCTTTTACTCCTCGAGTTCTTCTGATTTTCATCTTCTGAGAGATATCTTCTTCATCGATGACAATGTGTTCCAACTGATTCTGCCATTTTCCAGCAGTGGTGTCAGGAAAACAATCAGAGACAGCATTTCCAAAAGGTCTGCATAAAACTTTATCCACAACATGGTTTATAATTTTTTGTTGACTTGTCTGAAATGTTTTAGCCTGTTTTTTGCACAGGTTAATTGGCTCATCAGTTAAAACATCAAAACTGGAACTATCAGTTGGAATTGGAATTGATTGAGTTTGCTGAGAAAATGAACTCAAATTATGTTTTCTTGAAAGTGATTGAGATAATGGATTAACTGAGGTGTTGAATGACATTTGTGATAAATCTTTGTCAATGTCTATCTCCATCATTGGTATAGGGGTATAGACCTGACTTTTCTGCTTGTTCTCAAACCTAGCAATACTATTGCATGGATTACAAGAATAGCAAGAATCCCCCCTGTTAACAGTTTTTGTTCCAGGTGACCTTGTTCCAATATTCTGTTGTCCAGATAGACACCCCTATACAGAAAAACAGTTGAAATAATCAACTCCTTACATAATATGAATAAAATTGCTTATCTTTACAATAAATGCTAAAATATTACAGTTTAATACAGTTATTTTTGAAAGACGTTTAACTCTTAAGTTATTATTACTTTTTTTACATGATGTCACAAATATAATGCTAAAATACAGCATAGTGTTATAAAATTCTTGTTTTCTGTGCTGATATAAAACATAAAATATAAATAATGAATCACAATAAGTGCATTACTTTTCGTTTGCATATATATATATATATATATATATACACAAAATTATTATTATGAAAATATCTGGATTCCTTGAATTTATAGCAAACAGTACTTCACAATAATCACACTGAAGAAACAATTACTGAAAACCTTGATGTGGCTATACACATTGCAAAAGTAAAAACAAAAAAAATTATTTTATATTTGTAAATCTCAAATAAGGAATGAACTGGTAATTTTTTACCCCAGCTAATTCCTGTAATGCAGAACAAGCACTTGTAGTTTGAAGGTCAGCTGGAAGCTGCTTTAGAGTTGGTTTAAAAGTTCCATTCTGTACATAACGCTTTTTTGGAGGTTTAGAAACAGTTAAATGACTATGTAGAGATAACACTGTTAAATTTGTTGGAGTTTCAGATCTCGGTGAGGATGAAGGTGCTTCTAAAGGATCTGTAAAATAATATGTATGTATACTTAAATTTTAGGATTACAGATAAACACTTGATAAAACATATTAACTTCTCAAGTGTCTATCACTGAAAAACATATTCCATTTAGCATAAGAAACATTTTCCATGTTAAATTGTGTGTACAGTGTTTGTTATGAAGGTAAAAATAATGATTTGTCTTTCATAAGATGGTCAGAAAAAATATTAAGAAATATTACTATCATAAACTGAATTTCCAATGGTGTAACAACTATTGACAAAGATAGGTACAAGGTTAGGTTAGTGTTTTGACTGTTCATAAATTTTTCAAATTAATGTAACTAATAATAAGAATAAAATTTAACATTTTCTCTATACTAAAAATATTCACCACTAAATGAATGGAATTTTAAGAAGTTAAGTTATCTAATGTTTTTACTTGTGCAGTTGCAGAAGACCAATTGTGTTGAGGTTTAACTTCAGTTTGCACATTCAGTTTGAAGATCTTTAAACAAATATATAACACAATGTTTTGGGACAACAAGGGCCTCTTGGTCCATCTCAGCTGTCCCATCCTCTAAACTAAAACTATTAAATGATTAAATTTTTAAAAATCTTAAAGCCAGTCCTTATCATTCATATAGTTATCAAGCTTTCTCTTAAAGTCAAATTTACTGCCTCCACAGCATCCAATGGCAACCCATTCCAGAGACCTGCCACCCTGTTAGAAAAATAAAACTGACTCCTACCCTGCCAAACTTTATATTCGTGTCCCCTAGTCCTACTATTCTCACTGCTAAATATGAAAGAAGATGATGTATCAACACTATCAATTCCCTTTACAATCTTAAACACTTCAATCAGATACCCTCTAACTCTTCTTTTTTTCAAGAGAAAAGAATCTCGGAGATCTTAATCTCTCCTCATATGACAACCCTTCCATCCCAGGCACCATTCTAGTAATCCTTTTCTGAATCTTTTCCAATAATTCAATGTCCTTCTTAAGGTAAAGAGTTCAAGACTGAACACAGTACTCCAAATGTGGCCTAACCAGTAACCTATACAATGAAATTATAACCTCTTTAGACTTATGTTCAATATTTCTGTTGATACAACCTAAAATCATATTTGCCCTATCACTAGCAATGGCACATTGCTTGGATGATTTAAAAGACTGATCAACTATTACATCAAAATCTCTTTTTTTTTCATGACACTGTTAAGATAATTTCCATCCAAATTATACTTATAATTCAATTGATGATAATCCATTATCTTTCATTTATTATAATTAATACCAATCTGCCATTTATTTACCCAACTCACTAAATGATCTAAATCCATTTGTAAAGCAACAACATCCTCTTCATAACTAGAAACATCCAAGACCTTAATATCATCACCAACTTTAAGTAATTTATTGACCATTCCTTCATCTATGTGCACTATTCAGTACAAGATTATTTTATTTCTTTAAAAGAAAGTAAAAATTAACAAGACAAATAAAAAATTGGGAATTTAAAAACCTGCAAATAGAGATTAAAAAAAGTAAGGAAACAAGACTGGAGATACTGTATATACACAACACAAATTAATATCTGATGTACACCACTAAAGATAGTACCATACGCAATTTAATATCTGATAAACACCACTAACGATAGTACAACACAAATTAATATCTGATGTACACCACTAAAGATAGTACCATACGCAATTTAATATCTGATAAACACCACTAACGATAGTACAACACAAATTAAGATCTGATATACACCACTAACGATAGAAAAATACAAAATTTTTTTGATACTACGTGTGAAATTTCACATTGTCATATGAGAATTATTCTTTGGTAATAAATAATATGGGTGGATTCAAAACATTTTTGTCTATGAAGACCTAATTGAAGTGTGCCTAATTCCTATCAGTTATAAGTTTTGATACTTTGTTTTACTTTAAAATAAAAAGTAGTTTTTTCACGGTTACAAACTTTTCATTTTATATACCTGTATGCTGTTTTTAATATTAAAAAGTAACAGTATTTATAATTTCAGTTTTCTTTAACTTTCATAAACTGGTTTTTAAGACTGTTGTATAGGAAAACTGCTGCCAGTGGTATAAAAATAGCACTCGAAGTTCTTACACCAGATGTATGATCTGTATGAATGATATAGCAGCAATATTTCTTGTAAGAAACCTAAATTTTCAAAGGATACTAATATCTTAGGTGTATCCCATGGAAAATATATCTATTTAAATAAGATCTACTGCAAGAAGCTCAGTGAGTAATCTGCAATAGAACTTTAATATTGTTACGACAGCGGAAGTCATGTGATGCTAGTAACACGTCATGAGCTTCTAGAAAATTCATGTCCCTTCGTGAAGCCTCGAGTGTTTACTAGATGTGCGGTACTCTTGTATATAAGACCGTCAAGAAGTGCCGGCAACAATGTAATTGAATTGCAGACAGAGATAGAGACGACAATTGAGTCAAGCTCGTGAATCGTTCGTTCCTTGTGAATTATAGCGTTTATTTAAGTTATAGCGTGACTGTGTGAATTAATTGTATTGCAAAGTTGTATTGAGAAAGAATAAACTAGTTTTATTTAAGAAAGGACTTGTGTCGCTAAAGTTTCGTCGGAAAGAATTTTTACGGAAAATTAACTAACGATCAGAGACGTAACAATATTAAGAAGAGTAAATTAAAGCTTATAATTGTACAAAAATATAATTACAAATAATATAAATTTTCAGGAGTAAAATGAAATATTATTATTTTTAATAAGATCGTAGTTCAATCTTATTTGAAGTATTGTATTCAGTTTTACTTTTGATTTTTTACTTATGCAAATAATATTAATCTGATGGATAAGGTACAAAGATAGACAATTTAGATAACAGTGTGTGCACACACTCTCTGGTTGTAAATCAGTATTGTTCATTTTGGGTATTATGTTGGACTCAATTACTCAGAGATTTAATGTTATTCTGAAATAATATCCTGGCCGATTCTCCTGTTATTCTGTGGAAGTATCCCATTGCTCTAAAGTCAATTCAGTTTTATATAGATATACCTACTACTATTTTATGGAAGAACATGTAATATTCTCTCACTGTATGCTATAAAATGTTAAGTAATCACAGTTATTCAAAAACAAAGAATGGGTTTAATGTTTTAATAAAGTAAACATACCCTAAAGTTTACAGAAATAAGAATCATAATCAAAGATTTTAATTTACTAAAAAAACAGTTTATTGCTATTAGAAAATATTACAGTGGGTTTTATTTTTACATTTAATATTGTTGACAAAACAATACCTCTCAATATAATTACCTGTATTTTTCGTACTTTTAACATCTTGAAAACAAGATGTTCCACGTAAATTGAGTTTTAGCGAATGCTTGTTTAAAGATTGGAAACTAGCAGTTCCAATTGCTAAGCTGTTCTGAGGGGTACATGCCTTTCCATTCATAGGCGTTTCTTCATTTTCTTCATGCTATAAATAAATAACAATATTGAATTAATGATGTGTTGTCCTATTTAGTCTTATAATGAGATTGTTACAATCTAATACCAATTTTTTTAAAGATTGGACACTTTTCAACTTTTGTTTTTTACATACCAAAGTTAAATTTCAATGTGAACATGATACATTATTCCCTGAAATCTTGTTATGTAATTTTTATAACTTCACAAGTTAACTATCAGGTTATAGTATTATTGTTATGTAACTTCATAAGTTAACTATTAGGTTATAGTGTTATTGTTATGTAACTTCATAAGTTAACTATTAGGTTATAGTGTTATTGTTATGTAACTTCATAAGTTAACTATTAGGTTATAGTGTTATTGTTATGTAACTTCATAAGTTAACTATTAGGTTTAAAATAAATATTCACTAATTAATTTAATTGAAGGGTGTTTTTAAGATTAATAAAAAAAATCAAACAAGACTGTTAATTAAACTCAATTCTAATGCACAAAAGGAAAGGTCGACGATCAAGGTCACGTGCTCGACAGGATGGCTATTATTTGCCCCTTGAAAGTTGTAGTGCTTTTTGTTTGGCTGGTGATATGTTTGTAAACCCTTATTTTTAAAGACAAACTGTGAAAAGGCGGATCTATTTAAAGAACATCTCAAAAGCACATTTAAAACATATCAAGAACCCGATATGAATACACACTTTTACAATATGGTCAATAACTATGTACAGACCCAAATTCCCTGCCGAAACACTAAATATATCAAGGAACAACGATGTCAATGAAAACCGATCGCATATCAACTCACAAAAACAATCACAGAAATAGAAGTTATAAAAGCAATAAATTCTACTAAAAACAAAGCACCAGGTGAAGACGGCATACAGGTCCTCCTCCTCAAAAACGACACTCATAGATTATATGAACACCTAACTAACAGCACTATTTAACCTATGTCTAAACTCAGGATATATCCCGGTTGCTTGGAAGCAAGTGATAACACTAATGTTTCATAAAGAAGGACAACCAGCAAATAAACCGAACAACTACCGCCCGATCAGTCTGACCAGCTGTGTAGGGAAAATTCTGGAAAAAATAATTGAAAACAGACTTTCAAATTATCTAGAAGTCATCTCAAAATTACCGGAAATCCAAAATGGGTTTAGAAACTTTAGACAAACAACTGACCACTTGGTCAGCTTAACAGAAACCAATATTGACAGCTTCAACAAAAACGAATGCACTGTCGCATGTTTCCTTGATATCGAGAAAACGTTCGACACTGTCTGGCATGATGGTCTTGGGTTCCGTATGACTGAAATGGACCTACCGCGGGAAATTATTCGCTGGTTAACTAACATTTTGGAAAATAGAAATTGTAAAATAAATTTTAGGGGAACCTACTCGGAGTCATTTACTCCAGAGGCAGGCGTCCCCCAAGGAGGTGTAGTTAGCCCTATTCTATTCATCATGCATGTAAGCAATATACCCCTGAAAAAATATACAAAACATACATATGCCCAATCATAGTATACACATACCCAGCATGGATATAACATAGCACCTAAACAGATAAATAAATTATAAATAATACAAAACTCATTACTTACAACAGCCAATAAAATACCACCCAGCACATCATCCAAATTCATGTACAATTGCACAAACTATCGCCGATAGACTCTTGCATAATTATATAAATTACTTCATGAAAAATTAACATAAAAACGACCTACAATGCGAACTTGATCGCTACTACATTACATGATGGCAATAGACTTAAGCACCTCTCGCCAGTTAACATATATTTTAGACTAATAATGACTGGAGACGGCTTGAATGGGTAATGAAGAAAAACTTAAAGAGTTAATCAGGCCACCTAATGCTAGACTGAACACCCTACATTAGTATTAAACTAAGCTGAAAACATTTAAAAGGATATTTATGTAAAATGTTCTTAAATTAGGATTGAAACTGGTCAAATGTGTGTGTATTATATATTGAACTGTTCTGAGTTCAGGACTATGTAATATCGAACATTAGCGAGGGTGTA